GTCATTAGCACCTCTAGTAATATATTTACTGAGAAAAATGGTGACGTGTTCAATACTTATTTTATCCGCTGTACATTGTCCTGCTCATAAATCCAAATAATGTTATTTTTAAGTCAAGTACCCATGTGGCCCCAGAGCCACCGGTTGGAGACCCCTGCTTTAGAGGAAGAGGAGGTCTCCTAAACTCAACAGAGCCTCACTGATCCAGGCGCAGCAGCTTTTGAACACTTCAGCTGGACTCACCTCTGTGTTTTTCTTGGACTTGACGTAGGTTTTGATGCAGGACAGAGGAGCGCGGCCGACACAGCGCTCGTGGACCGTGTACTTGCAGACTGGGGTGGAGAAAAAAAAAGAATTCATATTTTCAACGAGAAACAAAAGAACAGATAAAAACACATCATTTTTTAGAAGTGTGGCTTTCTTGATGTGCACGAAAACATTCTGTTCACTGGCTGCAAAATGATTGGAGTTGAAGCAACTCGTTGGGTTTTACAGTGCAGGGTGGACTCACAGGAGCAGCAGAGTCCCTGCTTCCCGAGTCCAATCAGCATGTTGAGACACAGATTACAGTAGGCTGGTTTGTTGAAGTGCTTCAGCCGCCACACATGCTGCCCGTCATCTTTTACATTCTGCAGAGAAAAAAAAAGATTCAGCGATGAATAAACTAACTTTATTTTATTTATTTTTGTTGTGGTGGGAGATCCATGATTAATGACGCATTTTCATCCTTTTTTTTTTGTATATAATTCAAAGTTAGGTCCTGGAAAAAAGATCTATAAGGGACTTTCAGTTAAATGCTGCCACCTAGTGGACAATAAATGAACATCCACTCATTTTCTTTACTTGCTTCTCCAGCAGCCACTCTGTATGAGGCAGGGGACACCCTGGACATGTCTCCAAACAAACACTCACCATCGTTTAATCCTGATCCTCGACAGCCGTATACACACATGTTTTACTCATTTCCCAACTCCAACACACCAGATTCAGTGATTCAATCACCTCTTTAAGCTCTGCAGAAGCCTGTTAATCACTGAGGTGTGTCGGAGCAAAGAAACAACTAAAACATGCAGAACGGTGGCCTTCGAGGACCAGGATTGGACARCCGTACTTTGGAGTCACCAATTAACCCAACGTGTTTGTTTTGGGCCAGTGACTGGAGAAAACTCACGAATGCACAGGAGGAAAGTGGAAACTGCAAAACAGAAGAACCCAGGGAAGGCGGCAAACCTGTGATCTTCTCGCACTGCACTACTGTGCTGTTTCAATAAAAAAATGGTGTTTTTAAATTCTCTAAAAGTAGGTCAMGAGAAATTATTTTACTTAATAACAAGAACAAATGTTTTCAGTATTTTATTTATTCATTCTTTTGGTTAAATAAACACAGAAATCTGGTTTAGACAGAAAAAAAAAACAGGCAATATTTGATTTATAATCTGGAGCAGCTCCGACGCGTTAAATGAGGGTATATTACCTTAAATAAGAGTCATTAGAGAAGAGATGTAAATGCACTGCAGCACATTTACACTCATTACCATAATCATGTTGCAGGATTGATCTTAAATGAGGTTAAATAAGGAAGAGAGGAGAGACGTTCATTTACATTTGCCAAACGCGTTTCGTCTGGTGAGCGACGTTTCGAAACACGTGTGCATTAATTTTAAACAGCAGCAGATGTTTACGTGTTGACGGGTTGCTTAGCAGCAGGTAAAACTGCTGAACTGTTCGCAGAGATGTTTTTTGTTGATAATCAGTAGAAAAAGCTGGCTCAAAGGCACTAAGTATCAGTTTGTCTGATTGTGGACTCACCGTCTCCAGGCCCAACAGGACCAGCAGCGGGATGGTGGTCAGGCCTCCCTGGATCCACTCATCCAGAGTCACTGTCCCGTCATGATCYTAGTCGATTTCCTGCATCATTTCCTGCAGGATCTACAATTGAATAAAAACCAGAGCTTCTCAGTCTCGACACTTCACGTCTTTATTTGGAGTTAAAGGGATCCACGATTAGTTGTAACATTAAAAT